TACGGGGTGAAACCTCGGGCGGCTGAGGTGGGCCGGGGCTCGGCCCCGCGCTTCGTGCGCGCTCGTGAAGCGGTGCGTTCTTGGTAACCTCCTTCCAACAAGTCGCAGCCGCTTCTCATTTCTCTTTACGTGAAAAAAGCCAGGGATTACTGTTAGGAAAAGGTGTTTCACTCCTGTTCTATTTTTTTTCACTATTTTGGGGTTGTTTGCTTTCTTTTTTTTTTGGTTTTTTTTTTTTTTTAGCACCCCATCTCTACTTCCAAGCACCCTCCAGCAGCCAGCGAGGACTCTCACTTACTGTAGCTTGCGGAATGGAAAGAGGAAAAGCGTGAAGGCCGTCGTCAGTCGGTTTCTCCGGCTGCACAATGGCCTTTGGGTTAGGAGAAAGGTAAGACTTTTTTTTTTTTTTTTTCTCTGTAATAAAAGCATGTTTACGGTCAGTGGGCTAATTGTTCCCCTTCCATTAGAGAGGGCAGCAGCTAGCGTGGAAGTTAAAAAACCACCAGAGATTCCTCTCCTTCCTGGAAGTGGGGAATTCGTCCTGCTTTGTTTATCAGTATCGCTGTGTATGTGTATTTATAGCAACCCACTTAAACATCTTCTGTGTCTTTTCCTCTGACAGGCTGGTTATAAGAAGAAGCTGTGGAAGAAGTCAGCCGCTCAGAGGAAGCGTTTGAGAGAGCTGACGTTGTGCAATAGAACGCAATGCAAGCTCCTCGATAAAATGACCACTTCTTTCTGGAAGAGAAGAAATTGGTATGTTGATGATCCCTACCAGAAGTACCACGATCGCACGAATCTTCGCGTGTAGAAATCTTGGCGTCATTTTTGCATTTCTCTAGGAAAGAGGTGGCAGTACTTACGGTCTTAATTTTAGAACATAAATCTGTAATACCTGTTACTTTTCTAAATAAACATGCCTGTCATCTGCTCAGAATTGTGGCTGTCAATGTGCAAAATAAAGGAATATTCAAGGTAATCTTGAGCTGCAATTTGTATTTTACTTGGCAGAGATCAAGCTGGTCACCGACAGGTTCTGACATCTGATGTTTCCTGTGGCTGTGTGTAACGTGGATGAATACAGTCTAAACATCACCAAAAGTGAATAATCTTAAAATTTTTGAGAGACAGGTTTAAATAACCCCGGGATATATTTTGCTGTGTCCGTAGTTGTTGGTAGCTCACTGAATGGGGTCTCCTTGGGGAAGGGAACAAAGGAGAGCAGGGTCTCTTTCGGTGGTTTTGCCTGTCGCAGTACCAGATAAACTGTTGCCATATCTCTGTGCTAGAGAGCATAGGAAAAAAGCTTGTTTCATGGCTACATACAGTTTTTATAATTGATTTTAAAATGTATCAGCAGCCAAATTTCATTACAGGACTCAGTTTGCATCCTGTGTTGGTTTTTGAGTGGTAGAGTATATTCTCTGGGTCCTAGGCTACACCCTCAAGCAGTCCATTCTGAGTATTTTCTTGGTTTTATTCTTTCTTTCAAGCCTCGTTACACCTCGCGCTGTGTATCTCTGATCACGTGTGTACATGGAACAAACCCAAGCGTTAATTACCGGGTCCTTTCGGAGCGTAGAATGCAACTCACCCCTTCCGCTAAGGGCTTGGTCGGAGTTTTTTCCTACAAAGCTGATGCTCCAGCAAGTGTGTGAAAAGCAGTTGTTTCTAGCAGTAGCTTGGAAAAGTTCACTAATCATTTAACCCGTTATTAAGCAGCTAGTCCCTAGTTATCAGCTCCGGAGCTACCTGTATAGCAAGAGAGGGTTTGCTGTGCAAGGCTGTAGCGTTTCAATGAACTCACTGCTTACTCAGAGTGTTCAGTAGCTGTATTTTTTTTTTTCCAGTTCATAATACAGAAAGAAGTTCTGAAGGACATGCAGCACTTAGTGAATACATCTATATACAGTCAGCCAGAATTGAGAGAAAAATAATACAGCGATCAAAGTAATTATTCTGGCCTGCCAGATACATTGAACAGACTAAAGATGTTTTCTTCCTTTTTTTTTTTTTTTCTTTTTTTTTTTAAAGAAAAGATTTAAGACTTTATTCAAGATGTATATCGAGCAGTATAACAAAACCAGCAAAACAACCACCTTTGGAATATTGTAATGGCTGTCCTTGTGAGGCATTAAGTGTACCATTTCATCACAGATCTTTTCTACCGATCACAGGAAAGAAATCACATGAAGGGCACAATTATGATCCTTAAATAGTTTGTCTAAACGCGAGTCCCAGTGTAGTGTTCTCTGCTATTTCGACTATGGTGCTAGATGCAGAACAGGTACCAGAAACAAACAGCAAAAAGGAGACGGTGATTAACGAGCGTTCGGTCACACGTACGAGGGTTTCATCACTGCGTGGGAACGTTTCGGAGAACAGTCGGAGGCAGCAGGTTGTTTACGTGAGGTGAGGGAGCATCGTGTCTCTCCAAGCAGCTTTCTCCCTCTCTTTAGGAATAAACAACCCGATGCTCCTTTCCTCCCGTGCTGGGTTTGCATTTACACAATTTAGATCAGCGTGGGATTAATTCCGAGGCGACAGTGATGCACGCGAAGTCTGTCTGGTCTATATTTGATGTGATCCCGATTCAGCGATCGGCGAGCGCTGTAACTGCGCTGATGCTGGCCCCTACGGCAAGAAAGGAGGCGTGGAGGACTGCACTCACCTGCTCAAGCTGCTTCTCTTCATAATTGAGGTGAATTTATGGCAAATGGGTGAGATAATTCATGGGGCCATTTTCCATGGATCATCTTCGGTGGCGGTTTCCTTCCCTCAGCCTCAATTCTGCTTGCTTAAAATAACGCATGTTCCACTTGAGCCTCGTGCCGGTTAACGGCTGTATTTTTTAGGGCTGGTGTGTTCCTTTTGGGGTTACGCTACGCTCTCCAGGCCTCTCTGAGAAACCAGGAGGTGCTGGCCCACCTTACAGGATTGATGGTAGAGGCCAGCTGCCTGAAAGGCCCCTACAGCCAGGCTTTGCTTACTTTTTAGACTATTTTAAACCTTCAGCTGAAAGACTGCTTGCTTTTAGGAGTGATCTGCGAGCGGTTAGCCGCCCTTGCGCCCTCAGAGCTCCGCACTGGGAGGAAGCTGGGACTTGCTCCCCATCAGCACACGCTTGAGGAGCCACCATCCATCCATGCCTCCTCTCTCTCCTCAAGTCCTGCAAACTCCAGTTTGCCGGGAGGTGTCAGCATCAGCGCAGAAAGGCGACTCGCCCAGTCTTGTTCCTTGGCAGAGATTCAAGAGAAAAATGGCAACAAAAGACTTGGTGCCCGGTGTTTATTCTGAACGAACGCACGTAGCCAAAGAGTGAAGTGACGGAGCTGGGGCAACACCCGTAAACAACCTGTGGGTGGAAGATGAGGAATCGAAAGCAAATGACCCTTCTCTTCCATATACAGAACACTACAGTGCCAAGTGTACGTGGTTAGGGGTTCACATTTCTTGTCTATACACAAATATACAGCTCAGTTGACAAATTAATACATTTTTGCCAGAGATATGAAAAGGTTTATTTTTATCATTTATACAGTGAATGTTTTGAGAGATATAAGGCAACTCCCTTGTCAGCAATTTCACCTCAGCACTTACGAAATGCTAAACAGTCAAGTTTACAGTAAAACAGCAGATTAGACGCACATTTAATAATTTCAGTGAGAATCAATGTTCATACAGCGTGTCTGAGAATAGAATTTGTCGGATGCTATGTAGCTCTATGTTGTTGGGGTTTTTTGGCATAACTGAGTGCAAACTTGTCAGCTGCTTTTGTATCTTGTGGCAGCCCATTGCAGAGCAGGGAAACATAGCTTGCTTGCAACAGGATTTTATTTTCTGCTAACACTGCAGGCAGTTTTTAATGTTTGCCAAAAGAAATCAAATAAACTCTAAAGCTGGCTTAAAAATAAAACACAGAAGCTTAGCTCCTCAAAGCTTTTGCTGAGTATCTTCCAAGGACTGACTCTTCAGTAACTGCTATTTAGGCAGGTTTGTTGGGTTTTTTTCAATTTACTTTCTGAAGACTTTTTCCTTCCTACCCATTGCAAAATATGATTGAACTAGCACATGTAAAGGAAATAAAATTCTCAGGTAATGAGGCCAAGTATTGTGGCAGACACAGGAAATACCTGCTTGCTTTTTCCACTTCCTAGCCAGGTCAGATAAACATTTCTGTGTGCGCATAATTTATTTCTCTCTTCCCCACATACGTAGGAAGCTCTGTGGGAGACCTCAGGGATCCATCAGACAGGGACAGCTGGGATATTGATGCATACCCGGCAGAGAAAAGGTTTCAAAGGCTGCTTCAGATTTATCTCAGAGCCTGATACACTCCAGCCGGCTATTGGCATCCTGGACTGCTGCACCCGAACTAGATTAACAGCCCATGTTCTGACCCCTTAGTGATGGCACGTTCTACGTAATGCTAAATGTTTTTCTAGTCTATGTGACGGGTCCAAGAGCAAACACAAAGGGCCACGTAGTAATTAACTTATGTGTGAATTGCACATGCTCAACACTTACAAGAGACACCAACTCGAAGCACAAATACACAAACCCTACCACGTCTTCCTCATCTTTTATATTTCTCATTTATATATGGATACAAATACACCACTCCATCTGGTTCTTGTGGTTCTAGCCAAACTCCACGCTACAGGCGAAACTCCAGGCTTCGAAAAGCAGCTCAGACCCAGCGCCCTGCGCTGCTCGTGCAAGTAAAACAGCAGCACCTCGCCAGGAAAGCAGAGCGCTGGGACCGACACTGTTGCAGGCAGGGGAGAAAGGTGAGCTTCCCCTGGGAAGTGCGTCACTAAAGTGATTCTAACTTCCGTCACTGCAGCTAGTACAAGCCTGGCTTGCTCACGCTTTGAAACTGGCAGTAGAACATTTGCCACAAGCGATACGATCTCGTTCTCCTAGCCGCCATCGCTTTCCATGGAATACTCTTCTGGCTCAGGCTGACCAAAATTAAGACTCCCCCTTCATTACGTCATTGAAACCATTTATTTTCTCTTGCACATCTCTTCCTCGTCCTCTGTAAGTGGTTCTGTCTCTATGGTTTTTAGCACAATGATTTTCTCAGAATACAGGTGATTTACTTGCAGGAAGAGGAACAGAGTCACAGCTCAGCTTTCGCTAATGAATCTTGGACATTTCATACAGTCAAAGTACTTTGACATTTGTTCCATCATTCACAGCCTTGAGGAGGAAGGGAGGAAAGAGAAATCCATGGCTTCTGCAAATCCACTTCATTAATGATAAAGCCATAAATAAATACACTGTCAAAGTATCATCATGAGCAACTGATTATTTTTGTTTCCGCTGTGCATTCACAGAGCTAGAGCTATGCAGACGCAAATGAGAATTGTCAATGTACAGCCTTACAGGGTTCGCGTGAGTGGGCGTACACTCTGCAAACGAAACAGGGACTCTTAACCCGCAGGTGTCTGCCAGACTGTCCTATCCACGTCACGGACAAACGCGACAAGCGTGTAACAGAAGGATACAGAGAGAGGAGAGAGAAAGGCCATGTCTACACTGCTGTACATCAAAGCACATCCATCCCACTGCTGTTTCCTACATTATGAACGAGTAGCTCTTTAAGGCAGAAGAGAGACATTCTGTGGATCTTGGTGCTATTGGCTCATTGCACTCACATTGTTTCAGTGGCAGAGGATGAGGTACTTTTCTTCCTGAAGCGAGGCCTAAGGGTCCTAGGCGGTGCCTGCAGAAAAGCAAGAGAAAATTTCAGTGGCGTAATAGGAAACGGTTTTTCTTTCCTTAAAACTCACCCATCTTTGTGGCACCTCTGTGACAATGATCCCGTTCCAGGCATGAAGTAATGGAGAAGCACATCTTGGCCCTGAAGATCATTAATGAATGACCAGCTGCAGACTAACCTTTAAGAAACCTGTTGTAGTCCTTTACCCAGGTTACACCAACACCTTCCCCTCTGGCGCTTGGTTAGAGGTGTGGCTAAAGATGGCTAGTAACAGAACAGTCAAAGAAGCCAGGACAAACTGGTGCCATTTACAACAGTTCTTGGATCAAGAGAGCAAACTTGTAGGAAAAAGTCATCTCTGGTGTCTCCCAGCCCACCCTGCACTGTCCAACCCAGCCACGGCCCTTCTGAGGGGACATCTCATTGGGGAATTACAAAGCCAAATGGGTCCCCAAGGTGAAACACACTGGGCCCGTAATTCTCACAAGGCAGAGCTCTTATAAAAGATCAGCCGCTCGCTTGGGAGACAGGCCAGACACAATCCATTGAAATTATTTCAGAAGCCAGCTATTGCAATTTTGCTTTGCAGTCAGCTGGTGGAGAGAGCTTTAAAAAGGAGCCCTGAATGCCCAGGAGGAGCCAGACCAGCTCTATGAAATTGGTTTACTGTGATTAACCCCGCTCTCCAGACTGAGACAGAAATTAGTTAGAGTAGCAAACAAACAAACAAAAAAACCCAAACCAAACCTATGCAGTGCATAATTCTCCCAGAGGAGCTTTGGCATAGCATTGTATACTGTGAGCTTCACAAAAAGAAATGGTTTGCAGATGTTGCGGAGGAGCCCAAATTTTCAGTGTGGAGGCCTGTCATCACATCATGTAACACTGCAAGGCCTGGTAAGCTCTTCTATTCCATTTACATAAATATCCAAAGCTTTATTTTCTTTAATAGCATCAACTTGTAAGACTATGACAGGGTCTTACCATTCATAAATCAGGACTTTGTCATTACTATTTTATAGGACTTTGCGACCCAAGATCATGCTGCATTTCCACATTCCTGTGATGCAGCAGGGTTATAAATATTCATACGGATAAGGAACTGCAGCGCAGCAAGGTTTTGTTTAGACTCCATCTCTTCCAGCTTGCCCATAAACCAAGGTAGTTTTTCTCAGAGGTGGGATTAATCCAACACCCCATACCATCTTCCAAGCCTGAAATTTGACCCCAAGTCTTCACTGTGAATCCCCAAAAGCACAACAGAGCTGGATGGGATGGCTGCATCCCGAAAGGCACAGCTGGAGGAGAAAAGCTGAGGAAGAAAGCTGCTGTGTATGGCAGGCAGGGATCCCACACCACCCCAGACTCCATAGCTGCTGGCTCAGAGTCGCTATCTGTAAACCAGGAGCTCGGGGCCACAGCCTGACAACTACAGCAGTACCTCCTGCAGCCTGAGAGAAGGCTGCTCTTTGGGAAGCCAGGAGGCTCTTAAAGCAAAGCAGCCATTAACTGCACAGTAAAGACTCTTGAATTGGGAATGAATTGCTCTGCCTCCTCTGGGAGGCCACTTGAGAGCTCTGAGAGTAGCTACAGAGGCTGCACCTTTCCACAGTAAGAACAGAGCAGCCCAGCTTTTGGTGAGATCCCCCCAGAGGTAGGATGACCCACCACAAGGTCACACAACTGCTTACCAAACCACACTGCTCCAGCTCCCTCACACCAAGCCAAGGGGTGGGTGGAACAAACCCAGCTTCCCTATGGTGGAGATCTCCCCACTCGGATCTGAGAGCTGCTGGCTGTGGCTCTATCCCCCCAGCCCAGATCTGGAAGGAGTCTTTGCCTACAGCATCTCCCATGGAAGTTTTATTTCCTCCACAACAAAATGTTGCTAGAATTGCTTTTGGCAAACTGCAGTGCGAGATTTGCGTCTCCTTTACTTGTTTTGTTTCCATAAAGCACCTTAAAGCATACTTGCTAACACAGTGCCTGATTCAAAAACCTATCGAAGTCATGAAGGAAGAACTGCCACTGGTTTCGGTGGGGTTTGGCTAGGTGCGAACTCAAGCGAGAGGGACTGGGCTCTGAGCGCCAAACTTCTCTTGAACTGTGAGTGCTCTTGCTCTGAGTGCTGGCTGTTTTCACCATAACTACCCTGCCTTGGGGGAGGAGATTGTTAATTTCCTCTACAGACATGAAAAATCAGCTAGCAGTTGGTATCCAAATCCTCCCACCCAAATACCTCCACGTTAGCACATGGTTTAGAGCTAGATACCAGTTTTGCAATTCAGATCCAACTCTGAAGCCCTGTATAACTATTATCTCCACAGGCACTAATTCAGCCTTCTTTCAGGAAACCCACACATGCAGAAAAGTGAGCGAACCCATAGCAAGACCCACCCCTGAAAGACCAAAAATGTATTATTTGGACTCAGTGTTTTTAGACCAAAGAGAGATGTTCATTCAGTTGAAGATTCAAGGAATGTCATAGAAGGAGGAGCCTTGACAATATGGAAGTACCTCAAGGGGTTGATCCTTCTTTTTGGGCCTTTTGTTCATGGATGCACAATCCAATGAATCATTCTCTTCATCATCTGAGAACACAGACCCTTTTGTTTCACAGTTTGCCTCAGGTGGCTTTTCATACTTATTGTCCACACCTATTTAACATGGCCATTTACAGTCTAAACATGAAGACAAAGGATGAGGAAATCAGTGATGGTTTGATTCACGCTCTGCCAAATGCCACATCACTGCAAAGCCATGCATCTTCCAGGGATTAATAGACAGAAGGTTCACACATCACACTATAGTAACAGCAGCTGTGGGGTTAGAAATCAAAAGGCTCTTGTTTATGAAGCCATTATAAACTCTATTTGGATTATTTTACATAGAATTGAGACTAAATTCACAGCCCCTGATGTTCTGGAGGTTGACTCTAGAAAGAGATATTTTTTTTGTTTGGTTCAGGGATAAATAAAATAGCTGGTTTCTTGAATCACTGATTTCATCCATAGTTCCTGCATCTACTGCTTCCAGAAGGAGTGCCCTCTGGAAGACACCAAATGAGTGGACAGTACAGAGCTGCCTGGGATGCAGAAATACGAAGTACAGCCACAATAATTGACTTGAAACTGAGAAAGGTCAAGCCAGGATAAATAAAATAGCTGATTTCTTGAATCACTGATTTCATCCATAGTTCCTGCATCTACTGCTTCCAGAAGGAGTGCCCTCTGGAAGACACCAAATGAGTGGACAGTACAGAGCTGCCTGGGATGCAGAAATACGAAGTACAGCCACAATAATTGACTTGAAACTGAGAAAGGTCAAGCCAAGCACCCAGTCTGAGAACCACTGAAGTTAACCAAAAGCTTCAACAGGCATTGAATGGACCCTCAGCAAGTGGGTGTGTTGATGCAAGACCAGAGCAGGGAAAAGTCTTTCTTCTGTCTCTCTGGAGTAAATCTTAATGGAACATTAACTCCACTGATGGATCTGAAGGCAGATTATGGCCCTGTGGCTACAAACCCCTAATGCCTGCTTGGTGGTTCTTAACTTTGTAACTTAATGGCATGATCTTTGTAGGACTGGTCATGTTGCACAACACAATCCATTTGCTGCTTTAAATCCAGACAGTGAAGCAAAATGGGGCCAGTTCAAAGCTAGAGGTACAGCGAAGGACACCCAGAGTGACCAAGCTTTCTGCATCTCCACAGACAGTTTCTTATCAGCAGGGCTGGAGCTTGCTTCGTTTCACGGATAGTTAGGCTTTTTTCATTCTGAAACATGTAAGGAGTGGAAGTGTTTGCTGTGTAGATGGCATTAACCACAACTACTGGCCCTGTGCTTAGACTGTTGTACAAATGTATACAGAAGTAACGCTTTGTGCTTCTTGTCTCAGCCTGACTGGCTGAGACTCTGCTGGACCAAAGAGTAAAACCCAAAGACTAAAAAGGATTCTTAAATGTCTAATACTTACTAATCCATTCAGATCCTTAAAGCACGAAAGAACTGAATTCATCAACAGCTTTCAGTTGGGTAACAGAGAGACAAAGTGGAAGTGATTTGGCTACAGCAACACCACAAGTCACGAGTAGGTCACTGGGGCTGGTCACTCCAGGGCCAAATTCAAGTTGGAAGCTGAAGGCTCAGCCCCTGCGCTCAGCCCACAGGATGCGGCCACTGCTGGAGAGAGCGGTGCACACCATCCTCTGGCCACTGACCCTGTGCTTCTACCCCTTTATCACCATTTGGATGGGCAGGCTGGAAGACACCAGGTTTCCAGGAAGAGCCGGAAGCCAACTTTTTCCCAGCTGTACTGAAAATGCTGATAGTCACATTGCAGAGAGGCCCAGGATAATGCTGAATTGTTTTTTTTTATATATATGACTGGTGTTAAGGCTACACTGTGGGGAGAATTAAATGTTCTCTAGATCACATGGCAAATCAGTCCAGGAACATCTTATCTTAATTACTGTTTTCTCCTTCCATTGGGGAAGTGAGGTATTCAGGAGGAGCCTAGCACAGGTCACCTTGTATGTGGGAGTTGGTCCTTGCGCCTCTCTAAGTCAATGAAAAATGCATCAAGTTTGGTTTTAATGCTGTTTGTTCAGAGCTTGAGCAAAGCCTGAACCAAATGTGCCCAAATATGCAGCCTGGAGGCCAAGTACTGCCCCCAACACCAATTCATATGACTGCTCCCAGCTGCCCTCTTCCCCAGCAGTCCCTCAGATGTGGACTGCAGGTTGGCCCAAGAACACCCCCCTGGCATGTACTGCTGCGAGGAGACAATGGCTTTGCCCAGGAAAAAGAGGACTTCAAAGGGGACAGGACAGAGGGACGTTGGGAGAACCAGAATTAGAGCATTCAGTGACCAGACTGTGGAGACGCTGGCTGCTGAAGCAGAGAGCGTACAGGGTTAGGCAAATGTGCCCTGCTCCTTCTCTGACAGCCAGCCGCTCCGCTGCAAAAGGAGGCAGAAGGAATTGTCAGCCCTGATAACGCTC